AGGAAATTAATCTATTTAAAATAAAGTGTTGTGCCTTAGAATGTATTAGGGATACATGTACAACAGGATTAAGGATGATATGGCTTCTCTTGATTAGAGAAATTAATAAGGTCAGGAAGGACCTACAACTGAAAATTGGTTTCTCACAGACACGGAGGATTTGTACATATTTGACAAATTTACGTTATTTAATTAGTTGTAATTGAAAATAATAATATAACGTTCAATATAAAATTTGATTTTGACTAAAAGAAAGAAACTTTTGAAGAGTACTTTTTGTGATTATCCTAGTGTTTGCTAATTTTCTTTTCAAGAAAATGGTTGAAAGGTAATTTTTTTATATAATTTTATATGTTATTTAAATGATTAATTTTTTTATTTATTTAAAATATATAATATTATGTATATTTATTCATTTAATGATAAATGGAGAATTTTATTCCTTCATTCTCTTTTCCTCTCTTTTCCTTATTTTGAATAAATTGACAAATTAAGAGGAAAAATAAAATAGAAGAAAAGTTTTCGCTTCCCTCCAATTTAAAGTCTATTATTTTCAATTTTTTTGCATTTAATTCAACTTTAAAATTAATAATTTACTAATAACTATGCTGTAGACTTTAATAGTTAAATCAATAAGTGTTGTAGAGTGTAGCAAGAGAATATCAATTATCGTCTTTTATTTTATTTGTATAATAAAATATTTAAGAGTTTTTTAACTTATGTAATTAAGGCTTATGGGTAAGGGTATAATTAATACACTTTTTTATAATTAATTTTCATAAAAGTGTAAATGTTAATTTTAGTTTAATCAATTAATTATTTAAAATCAAAATTATTTGTGGCATTAAATTAAATGTTAATTTTTATAATTTTTTTATGTAAATTAATTATAAACAAATATATTTATTATATGTTTAACGTGTATCTTAAAGATTTAAGTTAGTAAAACACAATATTGAAAAATGATTAATACATGAGTTGATTACTTTTGCTAATGTTGAACTTTAATTGTTTTATCTTTAATTAATATTATGGAACATTTAAAAGTTTTCCATTGCATAGGAAATTTTTTGTTTTGTAAAATATTTTTTAAAGTGTTTCAAACAATAAAAAAATCTTTAAAAAATAAAATGTTTTTATAAAAAGTATTTTTTAAAAATAAATTCATCTTTCGCGAACCGAACCGCCTCTGAATTTATTTTATTTTATTTTTAGTGATACCTGAATTTATTGCCGTAGAGATTTTAGTTCTCCAAAGCAGAGAGATAGGATTTGGTTAGAGGACGACAAACGAGGAGATGTATAAACAGATTAATTAAGTTGCATGAACTCCACCAACTTACGTAGTAATTGCTGCGCGTCTCGTTTAAGGAGTGAAATGATTATTATTTTAAAAATTTTAATTATTAATAATTATTACCCTTGTTGAAAAAAAAAATATATGTTGCATACAAATTTCATATAAGCAGGGAAAAGAGAGGCCCACACGTCTTTCTCCGTCGTCTCTCGGACAGATTTTTCACCCAACCTATCATTTTTCTTCTGGAACCTAAAGACTAAAGAGCCAGAGGTCTTTGGTAGATAACTATCTTCACACGGTGTCCTCGGATGGAGAAGTTTCTTCTTTAAAATTTTTAAAATTTTTTAATAAAATTATTTATGTATT